GGAAACTCCAACCACCTCTGGATGATGCGTGTGAGTAAGCTACTCGAGATCCGACTAGATATTTAGCTTACAGTAACTCAGATGCGAGATCAAACGGCTACCTCAGCCACCCTGGTTTGCTCTATGGGATTCCTCTGATATTCCTCTGATACTGCTCTACCTTTTACCCTATTTCCGCCCTACCCCTGTAATCAATACAGTTCTCCTTTGTGACCGGTGTGGGAGACTTATTGAGGGTGGGTCTAAATTATGCCAAGGAGGCCCCTTAGGTCTGTGGACTAAGGGAGGCTTCCTAATCAGCCCCTGACTTGGGGAAGTGCCCCAAGTGCTTGTACTGGGTCTAGCACCCATTGGACGATCAGGCCTGTGTTTTCCAAGGTGCACAGAGCCAGAAGTGAGTCCAGAGCCTTGGATGGTGGCAGCGGGAACCCCAGGCTAGCGGGTGTGCTCCAGGGAAGGGGTCGGCCGGACGGGAGGCACCCCAGGGAGGCACTCGGAGCTGGGAAGGTGGGCGGCGCAGGGAGATGGGCGGCTCAACACAGGAGCGCCCCCTACTGGCCCGCCACAAGGGCACCCTCCATGTCCTGCCTGTCTTAGGACAGGAAGTAGCTTGTGAAACGCACTCCAGGGACCCAAGGAAGAGAGCCATATCCCCCACTACAGAGCAAGGCAAGAACCCCCAGAATACAGGGCAACCTGACTGTAAAGTCAAATTCCTTCCTGAACCCAAATGTGGCCATCGGTCTGAGCCTGAGTGGGGAGGCAAGACCCTCTAGCCAGGAGCCTCCAGGTTTTTAATTCCCAAAAGGAACATTTGCCTATCCCAGGCACAGTCTCCAGCCTGGGTTGTAGCCAGCATAAAAAACTTGTAAAGAAAGTAGAAAAAAAATCCCCAAACCCTGACACTGAGAGCAAGAGCAAAAGAGGAAACTATTCCTTCCTGGCCCCATGTGCCACAGCAAAACCCAGAAGCCTGGGACAACCATACCCCCCACTCTTCCCCACAGCCTGGGAGCAGCAACCAGAATCTGCCCCTCACAACTTCTAATTGGAGACCCAGGACTCCCCTTTCTGTCCTCCCAGCCCCTCCATGCACTTCTCTTTCCATATCCAACCTGGGTGTGGAGCCCTGCTTCATTCTCCAGAAGCTCGGCACCATCCTCTCTGACTTCTGCATGCTCTGGGCTGCAGAGTCCTTCCCGTGATCCCCAAGTGATGTGTGTAGGCTGCCAACTGTTGCTCATCACAGCTGACTCCAGGCACTGCTCCTCCTAGATCATCCCTGCCCAGGGCTTATCCAGCCTCTTCTTGAACACCTGCAGTGGTGCAGAGCCCACAGCTTCCCTGAGCATCTGTTCCCCTGCCCCCTTTTCCAACAGTGAAGAAGTTTTCCTCTTCATGCAGACGTGCGTGCAGACAACACAGAGCAGAGGCCATGGAGGAGGAGAGGGACTGGGCTGGATGGGGAGCTGTGCATGGCTGTGGGTGATGTGGCCAAGAAAAGGGCCAGTGCAATGCCAGGGTGTGCTGGAGGGCTATTTTAGCAGACAGGAGGAGGAATCAGTCCAAAACAAGAAAACCCCATTGAGAACAGCCTGCAGTTCTGTCACCCGTGTTCAGGTCCAGGGCCTTTAGCCTGGCCCAAGGGTGGCGAAGAGTTCCCAGGACAGGCAGTGGGAGAGAGAACCTGTCCAAGCAGAAGTGAACAGAGCTCAGCTTTTCCACCCAACAGCATGAAGGTTGGGGGACGTGATCGGCTCTGAACTGCTGGGTGG